AAAACAGAAGAACGATGTCGTCTGCGCATTCGGGAATTGTTTAAAACACGGTTCGGGTCTTGAATTTCACCACAGAAACGAAACAATAGAAGGGTGGTTCATATAGGGTACTGGTTGGTGGGAGTATAAGTAAAAATTTACCCAAAAAATTTAATACTAGAATCTAATAAAAAAGAGATAACAGACTCCTTGTAGATCTTCTAGATCTAGATCAAGATCTAGCAGAGACTTGAGGTAACCTGGAATGGAGTAGCAGCCTACACATTTTCATTGACTCATATTTTGAGAGGATGATAGCCTGGAAAGAAAGGATGCTTGTGACAATAGTAATGTTACTGGTTTGGTATGACATATAAAGAAGCCATAGAGATATACATTGAGGTCTGTGTATGAAACCAAACATTTTCATACGCACACAATACTCAAATTAATACAGCCATACAGTTCCAACGAACACACTCACCAGTCATTTAATCAGACCTTTCCTTGGTCTTCTGGCATGAGATTTTTCAGAGTTAATTCCCTTAGGCCTTTAGTTTATATGTCGTAACAGGAGGGCAACAACATGAATTCTGTTTGAAAACTTTGGTTAGAACTTTTGAACACATATGCACTATGAAATAAATCTTATGTTAGAAAAAATATTATCAAAACCTCATTTATAATGATAATAAGTCTGTACTTGAGCAAAATATAAAATGCAAAAGTCGTAAAAGGTAAATTTACCAACAGCAGAACTGCCTCCGTTTTTTGGTGTGTGACGTCAATAGGATCCGCCAGCTACATTATCATTGCTTCTTCTATGTTATTGCTCAAATTCAGTTGTAGTTAGTCGTTTTCTCTTCAAGAAAAAATTCTGTTCCATAACGTTATGTGTATTTCATAGTAAGCCCTAAGTAGAAATGGCAGATTTTATTAAATCGGCGTTCGGGGGAATTATTGGAAGTGGACTGAGCCGTGAAGGAAACGACTTCGTCGGACAAATTGTTGAGCTTGGAAGTCAGAAACTTCGTGTGAAACGGCTGATCGCCGAAGGTGAGCTTAGAGTTTTTGTTTTCTTTTATAATTTCATAGAAGTTGGAGTTTATCATACATCTCCAACAAAGATCTATGAATCTATGTAGATCTAGATTCTAGGTCTAGGCCTGCTTTAAAATTGTCAAAAGATGGACTAAGTCCCCAGCCCGCGGCCACCGTGGGCAAAATATGATGATGGACCGTAGAAAGTGTAGGCATAGGCCCTCTATCCCTCTCTACTATCTATAGACCTGCATGTTTGCAGACAATCGTCTGAAATCCGACAATCGTGACCCGACCCGCGAGCCAGCCGATGCTATCGTTAGGCCCACCTGTATAGTCAACAATGTGCGAAGTGCGAGGTCTGGCCGACTGCCAGCGCCCCCTTTTTCTCTTGTTGGCTTTGTCGGCACTTTCGTTTTCGTGCCGACCACTGACTGCCGACATAATTGTCGGAACCTGAGTAGAAATACGAATACGAAAAAGTATGACGACCTAAATTATCTACTTTCAGTTTCGTGCTCGAGGGGCCATTTTTTGAATTTTGTTTGTTTACTGATTGTTCACATCATGTGGATTCTTTTAAGTCCGACTCACTTGTTCTACTCTAGATCTATATATCTAGATTTAGATCATTATAGACCTCAATGGAGGATTCATATTCCAATTCTATTGTTGCAAACCCTATTCGAAGTGATTATTCGGACTCGAGTCCGAATATGAAAAAATGTTATTCGGACTCTGATTCTTGTCCAGCATGACATCACTTCCAACTTCCTGTGACTCGTGACTCCGGCTTCCTGTCCTGCCTCAC